GAGGGAATCAACATGTGGAATTGGATCGTTGCCTCATTTCTTACCAATTTTGAGTCGCCTAACTACATCCTTGCTGTCACACAGATACGATACACGAAGCGTAATCACGATGCTTAGACGGGAGAGAAAAGATATTATGATTGCCCCGGGTGGAAACGAGAACAACATAAAAGGCTCTTTCGGCGAGTCTGGCGATAATGAGTTGAGTTTTGGCGAGGAGGAGACGGCAGCTAGTTCTTCAAGCAGTGAGGACAATGCCTCTATGGGAGAACAGATGAGGATTGAAGCCGTCCGAGGGCCAGATGAGGATAACACAAATGAAACAACTACTTGGGTGGAAACATGCCAAGAGATTAGGGAAACGACGTGCGAATACATAGTTTCTACGGAAGTACGGGACGAACGTCGTTACCTGCAAGCGATAAGCAAGTTAAAAGTCTCCACCAGGTCATCCAAGCGATTTCGAACAAATAACGTCCGAGAGCGGCTTGACTTCCATAATTTGATCGATCGATGGAAAAAGCGGTCTTTCTTCGGCGAAGATGAAGTTGACCGGGTCCGGGCCGCATCAGAGGGCAAGGTCCCGAGGCAGTGTTGGCGTCCTCCATATGCTATAGGGGAGTCGGATGACTGGAATGTGTCGCAGCAGGACTACCGGCACCTCGTAGACAGATGGAAACGACAGGAGGAGCGATGAAAGAGACTTGAAAAAAGAGGTCGGTGAATTAGTAAGGGTTTCAGTTCAGTTCAGTGAGTAAAGCTTGAAAACTTCTTTTCTTCTTTCCAGTCTCATCTTTGTTTAGAATTATCTCCACCACGATAGTAAACTAGTGACATAACGATAATAAAAGGATTTCTGGATGTGGAAAAAAGATGGAGGCATTTCCCGACGCCTTAGATTAATTCCCTAGACTCTTAGTTGCCTCTGAGAAAGTAACCTATGGTACTAAACATGATAGATTAATTACGCAAGAGTCTAGGGTACTTAAAGCCCGCGTTTCGCAGCGTCGCAACCGCAGTGAACAGAGAGCCGTTAAAAGGTTTGGTAGGTATAGGGTTAGATCGCGGTAGCTTAACTAATGAGTGAGTGTCACAGCCAGTAACTCAGCTGGTGGGTTAGTGATAGGCATGTGAATCAATGGGTTTTTTTTTGAACTGTAGAGCTCAGACTACAAACAGTGTACACTAATTTGAGATGTTAAGGATAGGTAAAACCATTATTGGGGACAAAAATAGACTAGAAGGGAAGACTGTAGGATCGGTGATCCTAACACTTTTGCCAAACACAGACTTTGACTGAGACTTTTTACCTTGAGATTTGCATGCAGTATTGTAAAGCTAATGGGGAGCGCGTATTATGAAGATCGTTTAGTCAATAAGATGAGTAGTAACGTAAACAAACAGTCAAGTCCAAAATAAGTTTGAATCTTCAAAGGTATAGTCCCTCTTATGGCAGAAAACTCAGGTGAAGTGAAATCGGCGGACCCCCACCCCCAAATGGGAATTACAATGGCTAGGTTTATGAAATTCATAGGACGGATACTAGAGATGATTTGACCCGGGCATGCAAAAATCCATAAGCCTCGGACCCCCCGGCCCCAAGTGATAACGGTCCCGGATGTGCAAATGGCCCTATCAGAACACGGTAACTAGCGGTTGGAATGGAACCAATATATAGTTTGTTATAGACCTAGATGAGGGAAGCTTAAGTTTAGAAACCCAGACCCCTCAGACCCCCACTTCCGGTTTTATGCTCTATGCAAATAGAACCCATCCCGGCTTCCGTGAGTCGTTTCTCGGACCCCACTGAACGCAGGAAGTTAAGACTTTGGGATAGCATAGGTAGCATAGTACATCTTGTGTTATAATTTGAACCAAATCCAGCGGCTGAACCGGAAGTTATTAGCACTTTGGAAAACCACCCCTTAAATCGGAAGTAGGCAAATTACGCAAAATAATGAGCGAGGGCATATTGATTTTATGGCGGCGTCAGATACTACAACTCATCCCCGAAAAAAGACCCCTTGTAAGTAAAACCCCTGCTGCAACTCCTTCCGGTGTTAATAGTCTTTCCCCGGGAGAAGTGATAATGGACCTTAGAAATAGGATAACTTGGGAATTATTAACGGGATATGGATGAAACTTGGTAGGTAGGACCCCTATGGGAGTTTGAACTCGAATATGGAAGATTGACCCGGGTGACTCCGGGGTGACCTCAAATTGACCTTTAGGCGTTTAGGACCAAATTTGTATGAAAAACCTCGGGATTAACACCGGAAAGAGGCGTATTCATTCGACCCCAACCCTTGGGAATGAGAATCGTTCACCTTCCTAATATTTGGGAGGGAACATACCTATTGGGGAATAATTGAGAAGCCGAAAAAGATATAGCTTAGACATTGTATAATTGAATTAGTGAAATCAATTGAAGTGAACATGGCAAACATTGGGTTTAATCTAACTTGGCGATTGCGCTATTGATAGAATAGCAATCAGGGTAAAAGAAAGGTAGTCCCAGAGGGAATTGACAGTAACTGAGGTATAACATGGAAAATAGGACTCCTAAATAACATGAATGAATGAGCTATTTACTTAGCTCCCCGGAGGTGGTTTTTTGGCTCAATTCGACCCCTTATAAGCGAATTACGTTCCCTTGAGAGCTAGAAGGGATGGATTGGAATAGAGTATAGATCAAAATTTTAGATGCTTAGGATGAGTTAGCGACCCAGGAAAAGGGTCTTCCTCTACCCCTGGGAGATTGGAACGTTAATGGGATAATAAAATAAAAGCATTGGGAAGATTGGTTAATTAAATATAACTCGGGTTGGAGGTGAAATTAGACTTGATATTTGCAAAACTTAGTTACAGATGCCTAAAATGAACTTGGAATGTAAGACTAGTGTCGTGAGGGGAAGAATTCAGTCAAGACCTTGTGAAATGGGTACTAAATTAAATGTCAGGACTTGTAGGGACGACATAACTCTAACCATAACTAAAACTCAAATAGACACATTTTATAGAGAATAGCAAGTAGCCTACCCTTAGGCAGAGCACAGTTAATTACTAGAGATAGTAATTGGTTCTCGGTCAGAGTGAGAACGATTGAGCAAGCCGAGAAGAATAGTTGGTCCGTGGAGGACGCTATTGCTTGAAGCGAGGCTAGTTGTGTCTCATAGTTAGTTAATTAGTCTGGCTGATTAGGACCCGAGTTTAGTACCGGGTGGAAGTATTTGTGTGAGCGAGTTGCGCTCGAGAGTTGGTTTTCGTTAGCGATTCTGGCATTGGGTCAAGCGAGGACCGAAGGGCTAGTTAGCGAAGCGATTGAACGAAACGAGGCGCGGGCTTTTTATAGAAGTAGTTAATAGTAGTTAGCTCATTAAGGGCACTGTAAATTACTTTTTGTTTCCTCTGTGATTGAAGAAGAATTTACCTATTGAGCCCACGTTTTGCTGAACTAGTTAGAAAGGACAGAGTAAAGCCGAAGAGAGCACTAACAGAAGGGGGTGTTGCGTAATCCATTGGTTGGCCGATTTAGTCTGACCATCAACATAACCCTTTCGGGATTGTAGAACACCTAGTATTAGTGTCCCCCGCTAATACAGAGTGGAAAATACTACAATAACCAAAACATATTTACCTCGAATTAGGATGCAGCTGTGCAATTTACCTAGACATGTAGACCCTAAGGCGACTGTGATCAATATGGTTGCAAATTTGACAATTATCTTTGCCTGGATATTTCCAGTTAGGGTGGAAGTATCAGGTCTACCTGGGCAACTCACGTAGAAATTAACATGCAACTTTTTATCTTTATCTAGATCTCTCAAATTAAAACGCAAATTTGACCTTAAGATAAATTTTTAATTTAGGGCTTCACCATATATTTCTATTACTTCGATTTAGGATGCAAATCTAATCTTTAATCAAATTCTTCAAATAAGGGTGCAACTGTGACGTTTCGTAGATATTTAAAATTAGATATTAAAAAAAGAAAATAACTAAATACTTCAAACTAGGGTGTAACGGTGACTTTTACTTAGATATGTAGACCAGGAGAAGACTAGAATAATTCAAAACTGGGATGCAAGCTTAATTTTGGTCTATACTTACTACTTTTGGTAAAAATGTGCTCTGAGCGTGATTTTTTGCCTAGTTACAACGAATTATTCTGTTGTTTCTTCCAAGACATTTTGAACTATGAGCGACTGTGATTTCTACGTAAATATTTTGAAAAAGGGAGCAATAATGATTTAGAATGAATGGGCAAATGGGTTAAATTAGAATGGGCAGCAACAAGTGCTTTGAGTTGGAGAAGACAAGATTGGTTACTTCTCTCGGGCTTATGAATATTTGCTTCGAAGTCCGACGATCGAAGAGTTTTTCTGTATAGAGTAAAACTATCACGTTTGAACCCAAAAAATGTTATTGAATATGAAAGAGGGCAAAAAATAGTTTAGTTATCTGGGTTGGAATCTCAGCTCAAATCAGAACTCGACCAAAATTCATTGAAGGAACTTAAATAACGCGAAGACATTCTAATTCCGGAAGTTCAACCATTTATTTGAACGTCATAAGAGTTTATGGCGTTTAGACAAGACAATGCAAGACCCAACTTGTTACGCGGTTTCTCAGGGAAAAATATTACAAAAATTCATTTCCAGCACACAGTCCGAACCTGAATCCAATAGAGCATTTTTGCAATTGGATGAAGCAAAAAGTTTTGGCAAAAAATACGCGGTCTTAGAAAACTGGCCTATTCTTGTGTTGATTTTTGGGTGAATGACCTCAAAATTTACTGGAAACTGTTATTTTTTAAAGCAAAGACGTATTCAATTAAGTATTCAAGCAAATTGTGGACACACTGAGTACGCAAAATGAGTACACACTTCAGCAAAAAAAATTATTTCGTTTACATTTGTTTTTGCTGAAAGATTGTTCTTATGTTGCGTGTTCAACGTTGCCCACTATATTTTGATTAAAGATGTCACTGCAAGGCTTACCTGATTTTTTAAATATTTTGTTGGAAGCATGACGTTTAGCTAAATATTGTAAGTTAGATGTTAACTGAGACGACCGTTAACTTGATTTTGTAAATTAGGGTGCAATTAAGACATTTATTTTTGAAGATAATCCAAGAAAAGTTGCAACTGTGACCTTTACCCAGATAGTTCGAAGAAATATACAACTGCGACAATTCCCTGATACTTCAATTATTATGATGCGAGCATGACTTTAGCTAGAAATTTAGATTTAGATATCAATTGTGACCTTTATCTAGTTATTTTGAATTAGGTGCAATTGTGATTTAACAAAATATTTCAAGCATGGGGTGAAAGTGATAGTTAGATTTAAGTTGGAAATATCATCTTCACAAAGACGTTTTGAAAAAGTTTGCTGTTGTGATCTTTTATCTAGATATTTCGATTAAGAATGCAACTGCGACGTTCATATGATATTTTGAAAGTTATGAACAAGCATGATATTCAGCTAGATTTTTCATGTCAAGATGAAATTGTATTGTTCATTCTATAATTCTAGTCAGGGTCCAATTGTGGACTTCACTTCGATATTTGAAATTAGGGTTGAGATTGCAACATTTGCGTATAGATTTTTGCAATTGGGGTTCATTTGTGATTTCCTATGTGATATTTCAAATTAGGGTACAACAGCAATTTTTTCCCTGATATATTTTTCAAAAGGTGCAATTTCGACTTTAACTAAAATACTTCAATTAGATAACAACAGTGACTTCTACCTAAATAATTTGAATTAGCGCGCAACTGTAAAATTTACTCAGTTGTTTCGAACAAGTCTACAGCCGCGAGTTTTAATCCTCAGATAATTCAGATATTTAATTTGATGTAGGATGCAACTAGGATCTTCACAGAGATATTCCAAAACAGTGTGCATGCAACTCTGACTTTTTGCTTGATTTCTAGAATTAGGAAACCACTCTTTTTTCTGGATGTTTCTGATAAGTGTGCAATTATGGCACTCACCTAGATACTTCAATGAGATGGAATTTGTGACGTTTTTTCTAGATATTTCACATTATGATGCATATGCAACCTGTACATGACTTTTTTCAGTTGGGTTGCAATTGTGACTTTTTTCTTGATAACTCCTTTTGCTCGACAACAGTAAACGTCGTAGTAAATAGGCAGCACCTCATATTGCATGAAGAAAGTGTGAAAAAAATTGAACAAAATACACACACGATGTTTTCTTTCGATTTATTTCGAAGTGCAATATTTGAAAAACTAAATTTGTGAAAAAAAAACAGAAATTGTGAAAAAATCGAACAGAACACACAGGCGATGTTTCCTTTCGAATTCTTTCGAAGTGCAATGTTTGAAAAACTAGTGCAATACGTGAAACAATAGTGCATTGTTTCAAACACTCGTTCATTGTTTAAAGATTGCACTAGTGTTTCAAATATTGCTCTAATTTTTCAAAAATGGCAGAGAATATACGGAACACAGTCAATAATTCGAATTAGACTAGAATTGGGATTTTTATCTTTTTTTTGGGTATAAGATTTTCGCAATAAAATTTTTCTCTATAGATTGATCGTTTTAGGGTGCAAAGTGACTCTTGATTAGGCAATTGAAGAAGGGTGACATCCACGTAAACTCTTCAAATCAAGGTGCAACTTTGGCCTTTACATAGATATTTAGAAAAGGGTGCAACTGCATCTGTGACCACCAACTAAATGTTTTGAATTTGGCTGCAACTATGACCTTTACATCAACTTTCAAATAACTTTGCAACTTGTAAATTTGCATTGATATTTCGAATGAGGGTGCAATTATAACGTTTTCCTAGATATTTCTAATAAAAGCGCAAGAATAAGCTTTATCTAGGTAGTTCGAATAGTTTGCAACTGTGACCTTTACATATTATTTTTGAATTAGGGAGTAACTGTGACCTTTTTCTACATAATTCGAATTAGAGCTGCAACTGTTATCTTTACTCAGATAAACTGAATTAGGGTGCAACTTTACTTTTATATTTCTGATATACTTATGACCTTTACACATATATATTTCAGCTTAAGGTAACCTTTAGATAGTTTTTTGAATCAGGGTGCAACTGTGCTTTATACCTACTCGGGTCGAGGTCCAGGACTAATTTTACGACTCGGTGGGTCGCGGAAATGTTAATAGATGTTTCGAGTTAGATGTTTCGAGTTAAACCAGCTGTAAGCAACCAGCATCAAGTCGTGTTTTACTGATGATCACAGATAATTTGTATTGTCTTTTTACCTCTATGGCGCTGTTTTTGTAAGCTTTGACTGAAAATAATAATTATTTTACCCTATGTAATTGCAGCTCTCCAATTGCCCGTGGACAACAGCTTCATTGCTATCGGCTGTCAGGGTGAAGCGTAGTGTTTCGAATTAACATAGGGAACTTGTACTTCATTCCAAATCAACCATATAGACTTGAAACGCCAAGATATCAGCACGGGTTCCAACTGTACCAAAGTCAAAAGGTCTTCATCTTCGAAACAGAAGATTTCATTATTATACCTGATTGTCATTTGTTTCACAGCCCTTGGACTGCAAAAGGGAGAAATCATTACAAAGGCTTTAAAATCGAATATCAATGCTGTTGGATTAGTTGTTAATGAGTATAGGTAATGGGTTAAAATGGTTACGTTGCAAAAAGACGACATGTCATCATAAGTTTTAATCAGAAACGAGACATGAAAAGAAGTTATGCGCAAGAATAAACGACAAGTATTTATTTCGTACGTTTGTTTCTCCGATTCTGGTTGGTTGATGACGTGTCTACTTTATGACTTGTCGAATTTTTACCGACTTGTCGGTTAAAAGAGTCAAAGACGGTCTAAAGTGCCACAGGTGCGCAGCAAGTTATAGTTTTCAAACAGCACACGTTTCTAAGATGCTGTTTTCAATCACTATTTGAAGAAAAAAAATTGACCAAAAAGTAGGCATTAATTTTTTGAATAATTAAGTCTCGAGATTGGAGATGACACGAAGAGTACATTGTAAAGTGTTGGAACGATAACTTTCAATCCCTAATGCGCACTTAATGCAAAATCGCAAATTAAGAAAACTAAATTGTTTGCTATATTCAGTCAAAAAAGTAGGGATGAATTTTCCCTCCTAAATTATCTGGTGTTAAAAATTTCCTGAGCGACATAATAACTAAGAAAAAGTATTTCCTATAGAAACATGCATTACAAAGAACACTATTAAATTAACTCACGAAATTTTATATAAGTTTATGCTGGTAGTCCCGTAAGCGCAAGTTTTGAATAAAATTTTATCAAATTTACACAGTTGATTGAAATAATTTTGACTATAAGCAAAAATTAATTTGTGAGCAAACTGCATAACTACCCTTTATCGATTTGGAGGATATTATACGGTTTACTTCCCGGGTCGAGGTCCGCGATTGATTTTCGAATTTGTGGGTCGTGCCAACGTTAATTCAGCGACCGAAGGTTTTTATTTTGGATGAGGTTTTAAGTAGTGAAAAAATTCTGGAAATACCGTATCTCGGCCACGATGATCGAAAAATTGATCGCAGCATGGACGAAAAATTAGTCGCGGCATGGTCAAAAAATTAGTCGCGGCGTAATAAAAAAACTGAACGCTGCATAAAAGAAAAGTTAAAAAGTTAATCGTGGCTTTGTGGAAAAATTAGTCGCGGCCTGCTAAACAAAATAACATTTCAGGATCGTCAAATTAAGGATTCTCCCTGAATTCATCAACTCCACCATCCGAAAAAACTGGGCTATTGTCGCGCCTCCGAAAGCCATCACCGTGGTGATCCAGGAGGTCCTCAAGTTTGAGAGCAACCTGACCAAGCTGTCTCCCAGTATTAGATGTGATGTCCCCAGTGGTGGTTGCTGCAGGTTTACTGCCGGGTTCCAGGTCGCTCGGTTGAGGCCAGCTCTCGGATCTGCCTCCTGAACTCCTGTGAAGTTATACTTCAACTGATTGTTCTTTTGCACATCCATTACCAGTGACACTTTCTTTGCTGGCATCCTTCGTATCTTCCTGTCTGGGACTTTTGAGCTCCCCATGGGTAGCGCTGCATCGCTAACTCCCCTTTTGGTCATTGCGTCTTGGGAGAGCTGTACTCTGCCCATATCGTCAACCGTTCCATTCCGAATCAAATCAAAATCCTTCTCCTCGCACAGGACCACATGATCTACTTAGTAGCACACTACGATTGTGAAGAAAACCAACAAAAACATTACATAAATATGCTATCAATTAAGTAACCCAATGTGAATCCAAACCACAAGCTATAGAAACCACAAATATAATAGCTACGTTATACCCAAAAGCGCGAGCAACTACACCAACAGGATACAAATTTACAGCAACATTTTTCGATAAGAAAGTACATTGTTCATAAGTTTCAAACGGAAATAAAAACAGACTAAACCACGAATCTTTCTACCAAAATAACATCGAAAGATTATTACAGCTCAGCCCTGAAGACTGTAAAAACGAACTAAAAAGACTGAACCTCAAACCAAATAAAGGCACAAATAGAAAAATTGTAAATTTTCAAGCTTTTCCAGACTCAGCACATCAAGCCGAACTTGAAAAACACCAAGGTCACATACGACTAGATACAAAATTTCCCTTCCATGGATCACATTTAGCAGATATATCCTGTAATCGGCGTGGCTGAAAAGTTAGTCACTACATTGTCAAAAATTTGGTCGCTGCATGCTCAAAAAATTACTCCCTGCAAATTAGAAAAATTAGTCGCTGCATAGTACAAAATTTAGCCCGGAGGTGGTCGAAAAAATAGTCGCAGCCTGGTTGATGAAGTAGTCGCCGCATGATCGAAAAGTTAGTCGCTGCATGATTGAAATTTTAGTCGCGACATGGTCAAGAAATTAGTCGCTGCATAGAAAAAATATTAGTCGCTGCATAGTAGAAAAAATTTTCGCGGCGTGGTCAAAAATTTAGTCGCAGCCTGGTCGAAAAACTGGTCGCTGCATAGTAGAAAAATTAGCTGTGGCAGGGTCGCGACATAGTAGAAACATTATTCGGGTCATGGTCAAAAATTAGTCGCGGCATGGTCAAAAAATAAGTCGCGGCGTAGTCAGTAGTAAAAAAAATTAGTCGCGGCGTAGTCGAAATATTAGTCGCTCCCTAGTGAAAAATTAGTCGCTGTCTAGTCATAAATAGTAGAACAACTAGTAGCGGCATGCTTCGAAAGTTCGTCACGGCATGGTTAAAAGTTTATTCGCTGCATAGTAGAAAAAGTAGTTTAAGCATGGTCGAA